TTTTCTTTTCCTTTTTTTTTCTTTTACAAAACAACTTTAATGGTCTGGAGAGAAACAACAGAACAAAAATTACAAACCAGATCTAGAACACCAGAGAACATTGACAGAAACCAGGTCTAGAACACCAGAGAACATTGGACCAAACAAGAGCACTAGAACACTAGAGAATACTGTTTTCAAGGTTTACACAAACAGTGAAAAAGTCACAAAAGTTCAAGAAAAACTGAAGTAAAGATGTGGATCTTTATTGTCTTCTATCCTGGTCTTTCTCTCTGCTTTTCCTCTGGTGTGTGTGTGTCAGTATGAGCTGTGGGCTTTCTGTTTTCCCAACAGCCTCACTGAGTTTACAGACACAAAGACTTTTGAAACAAATCCCCTCTGCTCCTCCAGTCTCTGGGGTTTATCTCTCAGTGTGTGTGTGTGTTCTTCATATTAAACATCATATCACTGTTTCGTTGTGTGTCAACTTTGTGTGTCTGTGTGTTAGTGTGTCGGTGATCAGGGGAATTCAGCAAATCTCCAACAGTCTGTCACTGTTTATCTCTTTGTCTCTTTGTTTACTTCCTCCACAAAATATCTAAGTATTTAATCCAATCACATTTTTGTTCGGCTGAAATGATACATCTGGTGATATTTTATATTTTTCTTATTTTCGGTAAATATCATGTGCTGACATAAACCTATTTTAAAAACCGTGACTCAATGCATTTTTTCCGGGACTATTTTCATTGGTGGCTTAATCCACATTTTGTGCTCTAGTGAGTATTTGGGGCAGCAGGAAGGTGCATGTGGGATTAAAAAGAAAAATGTGAAACCCTCTTTCCTGTTGCATTTGTGTACCTACTTTAGAAGTTTGCTTAATTGTTACTGTGAAAATTTCCAACTATATGTTAATATTCCTCATCTCATTGACACACATTTTGATGTTTACCAGGGGCATTTGTCTTCTATTGGACTAAACACAGATTAGGTTGCAGTTCAATAATAATAAAAACTGATGGAGATTTGCATGGGGCATCTTATAACCTGAGATTTTAACAACATTATTTACAATTTAAGGGGACCTAGTCCAGAGCCCTGGGGTATGCCCTGTGGGGAAAGTTAGCCCTTTTTGGTGCTGGTGCTTCTTCTAAATAATGAAACTAATGGACAATTCTTGATCATTAAGACCCCTTGAACTAAATTTGAACATTATGTTTAAAAGGATATATTATATTGTTGGACTTTTTAATTGTTTTATTAAGCACTCTGTCATTGTTGATTTTATTTATTTAATCATTATATAACATCTGTTATCTTGAAATTACAAAATAATAAGCCTGGTCACTCCTGTGTGGTATGAATGTTGTCAAAAGCTCTGCAAACATAAGTAGGCAGACACAATGGTGTTTATTGTGTAATATAATATCATGCATTACCCTCCTTACTGTAATTATTGTACAGTATTTGCTCCCTGATAGGTAAGATGGTAGGTGTGTATTACACATCGGGAAAACCTGAAGTTCCTCACCAACCAGAGATTCTGGTAAAACAGGACACAGGAGGGAAGTATTATAACTCTGCTGTGATGGGTCGTGTTACACTGTGTTACAAGGTTTATTGTTGAAGTTAAAGATGATGAGTGAGTTCCTCTTCAGAAACATGACCAATCCAACCAAACAAGACACTTTGCATAGGGAGGAAATGAACAGGTGACTGTGTTTGTTTGTGTGTTTATTTGGTGCTTTTTGTGACCAGAAATCAGTCAGCATCAGTGACAGGAGTCAGTTCTGTTTCTGACACCATCCACCCTGCGCTCTCTCTGTCATGCTACTTATCTTCAGATGGTAAAAACTACTACTGGACCAAACCAGGAAGATACTGGACCAAACCAAGTCTAGAACACCAGAGAATCTCGGCAGAAGCCAGATCTATAGCACCAGAGAATACTGGCACTAACCAAATCTAGAACAACAGGAAATATTGGACCAAACCAGATCTAAAATACTTGAGAATACTGAACCAAACCTTTGCTGAATCATAAACGAAAAGTAGGAACTAGGACTAAGACACCAAACCAGAGCACCAGTGCAACACATAACAACTAATCAGTAACTAATTAATAACAGCATGGTAAACTAATGACAAGCAGATGAGACATGATAAATGGGAACTGCACTTTACATGGAGAATCAGACTGTTTCTTTCAGATCAGTCAGAAATCCAACAAAAGTCTCAGACACAACTTAGAAAAAACAAAAAAACAAAACAGCGTCCGCGCCGTCACAGAAGAAGAAGAAGAAGAAGGATGTGTGGAGTGTTTAATGTGTGATATCTGTATTTGGGTGAATCATTGTGTACATGTGAGGTGGAAGTGTGTACACGCATCCGTGCCTTTGTGTCTTTGTGTGGCGAGTGTGTATGTGTGTGTGTGTGTGTGTTAATCACTGTCAGACTACCATCAGGCCAGGTGGTGTTGTCTTTAAATCCAAGTCCCAGCTGTACCTGCTCCACCTAATAACTGTGTGTGTGTGTGTGTGTCAGCGTCTTGGGATGTGGTTGATGATCCAATTCACCGGAGGCGGCGGCGGCGTTTCCCACTCCCCCCAAAATCACACCTCCACACCCTCAATACCCTCAACGCCGTATTAAATCTTGCCACTGTTGTTTGTCTGAGTGTGTGTGTGTGTGTGTGTGTGTGTGTGTGTGTGTGTGTGTATTTGTGTGTGTTTGTGAATTTTCACAGACCGCCATTTCCCCCTGTGAGCTCGTCTTTTCTTGTTCTCCTTCTCCTCTCTTGTTGTCCGCTCCTCATCCCTCCTTTTTGTCTCCTTGTTTTCCCATGATGCTTTGGGAAACAACACACACACGTACACACAAAACAAAAAAGAGACACACACACAAACACACACTCACACACACAGTCAGAGAATGAGATTTTCACACAAAGACAAAACAGCACTGATGTGGTGGAAGAAATTATATGTGTGTACGTGTTTATGTTTATTTCTGTTTGTGTGTGTGTGTGTGTTGGGCGACTGCTGAGTGACGACTCCCGGGAGGTGGGAGGAGGAGAGCGACCGGAGGGATGGACAGGGAGAAAGAGAGAGAAAAAGACACAAATGAAGACACAAATTCAATCTCCCTCTGTATCCGATGCTTGAAAGATGAGTTTGGATTTGTGTCAAATCTGTTTTAAATCAATGATCTCAAGGTACGATGTACAGCGGTAAGAAAACACGTGACAAACAATGTGCTGCAGTCGTTTGTGTCTTCATTGAACAGAGGCATTGAACGTTCACAGTGCTGGTGGGTTGAACCTCCTCTGGAACCAGCTCTTCAGTCGCTGCTGCTCAGTGTTCAGGAGGAAGTCTGGACCCTTCTTCCCCTCTCTGAGCTCAGTCCACAGCATCTCTACTGGATTCAGGTCTGGGCTCTGACTGCACCACTCCGGAAGGTGGATTTACTTTCATGTTAAGGATCATTGTCCTGCTGTATCACCTGACTTCTCCTGAGCTTCAGCTGTCCAGCTCCAGAGGCAGCAAAGACCCAGATCACGAGGCTCTTCCCAGAGGCGTTGGGTGGTTAAATCCAGCTGACGGTCTCTCACACTGCAGGACGCAGCGGTCGTAGACTCATCTCGTGTTTGACTTCGTCGGATTAGAAAGTTCATTCACTGCAAATCCCACAGTTACCGAGAGCCGGAGCGGCCGCCATCTTCAGTACGACATGATGTCAGCGGCTCTGGTTGGATGTGCAGCTAGCTCAAGACACTGGTTATAAGACAGTGTTGTTGATGCAGTTGGAATGAAAGATAGAGTGATAAGGAAAGGAGGAAGGAGAGGAGATGAGAAGAGAAATAGGTGATTAAAGGAAGGAAGAGGGAATGGTGGAGATGGAGACAGACAGACAGACAGATAGACAGATAGATAGATAGATAGATAGATAGATAGATAGAGCTGCTCTGTTTTCATCTGCCAGATCAATCTATCACAGCAGTAAATGGAGATTATTAAACAGCAGGAGAGAGAGAGAGAGAGAGAGAGAGAGAGGGAGAAGGAGATGCCAATCAACTCATGTCTCTCTCTTTCGCTCCTTCATCATCACAGGCCTCGGTTTCCACGGTAACTGTCTCCAGGCCAACAGCAGGCAACTGATGCGGGAGGGGAGGGAGTGTCTCAAGGCAGGTGGGGGCCAAACCCTCCTTTAGACACACACACACACACACACACACACACACACACACACACACACACACACACACACACACACACACATATATAAAAAGACATGATCCCTGATACATGAGAATAAAAAGGTCTGAACAAACATAAACACAATATTTAAAATCACCTACATAAACATAAATTTACTCACAACTTATACACACAAACACATAGTACACGCAAATACACACTATGATACACACACATGCAAACGCCCACACAGGAAAATAAAAATAAAAATACACAAACACATAAACAAACAAATGAACTTGAAGTTGAAAATAAACTAAATACACAAATATAAACACACACAGTGTGACACACACACAAATAAAATTCTCATTAACGTGTTTACACATACACACACACACACACACACACACACACAGTGAAATGTGTTGTCTGACTTTCACTCTCTCTGGATTCACTACCTGATCATTAGTGTGTGTTTATGTGTGTGTGTTTCTGTAAGTGTGTGTGTGTGTGTTTGTGTGTGTTTGACGTCCTACACTAGCAGACAGGGAGAAGCTGTTGCTGTCATTTCAACTAAACAAAGAAAGGCTGCTGGCTCTGACACACACACACACACACACACACACACACACACACACACACACACACGCACACAGATCTTCACACACTGACAGGACTTGTTGGAGAGGAAACCAGCTGGTGGATGTACAGGGATCAGTGTGTATATTTATGTGTGTGTGTGTGTGTGTGTGTGTGTTTGCATCTGTTCCAACACATTAGGGCAGGTCTGTGGAATGACTGAGGCAGTACAGCAGATGCAAGATGGGAGATGGTTACCATGGTTACCGCAGAGGTTCTGATGATGCAGTAGAGATGCAGGTGAGGCAGAGTACTTCCTCTTCGAGCACACTTCTGTAGTACTGGTACTGACTTAAAATGCACACAGCCTGTATTCAGAAACTGAGCCTTAAAACCAGCCGTCAGGACTTCTGGAACTTTGTGATGTCACAACAAAGCAGTCACCAAGCCCCGCCCACCTGGACCCACCATCCAAACCTTGCAGGATTTGGTTTCTCTGAGGTTTTTTAACCTGAAATCTGCTGTATTTTTATTGGATCACTCAGAAAACAGTCAGCCAATCAGAAGAGAGGCTCAGAGCCTCCTCTCTTCTGATTGGCTCACCGACCTGTTGTTACTAGAGCTGCAGAGAGAAGCCTGAGAGAGGAGATGTAAAACTACACTGAGATGGTTTTTATATCTTCTGATGGATCAACACTTCAAAATAAAACAGGAAGTGTAAAATCTGGGACCTTAAGATGAGGGATAAAGAGATCAGGCGTGATCCTGCACACACATGTTTTGTGTGCCCTCACAAACAAACTGTATCTTACCTTCTGTCGCCTGCAGCGTCTCGTGACCTGGAGTCAAAGTGTAAATGAGACTCTTCACATATCTTCAGATGAAACTCTCCGTGGGCGTTCGGCCTGATGGCGTCACCTGCTCGGGGACATTTTGACCTTTCAGGTTGTCACTCAGCGTCTGAACGTCCTGGACAAACTGCACACCATCACACTGCTCAGTCAGTAAATGTGACTTAAACTGCAAAAAAAAAAAAAAAAAAAAGCAGCAAGCTTTAAACTCATCTTCCTCTACCACCACCCCGCCACAATAAAACACCACTTTTGTTTTCCAAGCTTTGCTCTCAGCGACACAAACTGTTTGCGTGGCGGCAAAAACGGCGTCCCATCAAAACCAAATAGCAGCGCTATCATCATCACCATCACCATCATCATCATCACCATCATCATCATCATCATCATCATCATCATCATGCTGCTATCACTTTCACTCGGCTCTCTGCCTACTTAGGATGCACTTCTGGGGTTTGGATGTCTCTCTGTCTGGCACCCATTTCCCCTCCCGCGTGAAGGCAGTGACACCTGGGAAGATTGAACATCCCGTCACACAGAAGCTCCTTTTGTCAGACTAAATATGTTTCGCTATTTGCCAGCGCCATTAGAGAGCAGATTTTTTTTTCTTTTTCAGCATTGTTATGCTCAGAGTATTCACATCACTCTCTTTCTTTTCTTTTTCTTTTTTTCTCTCTGTCGGCTGGAGCGAGGGAGCGAGGCAGGGGTGGCTGGGGTGGGGGTGGCGGCAGAGGCGCGACGCATTAGCGGAGTTTTAGATGCGTCCGGGCTGACAGCAGATATTGGCGGCGGGGGAATTTCTCCTGTGCGCCTTTTGTCAGAGAGCTGTCAGTCTATCAGCTCCGCGCGCTGTTAACTGGGTTTGCTGAAATTGGCTTGTGAGTATTAGGACAATAGCAACAGCAGCGGGGACAGGAGGGGGGG